GGGACAGAATAAGAATATGGAGCACCACTTGGCAAATGGAATTTAATGTACTGTAAATAAATGCCATGTGATGGAATATGGAATAGGAATAGACCCCATGTGAGAAAAATTATGTAATTATAAATTATGTGAGAAATCTTTAAAGAAGTCTGATAAAGAAAGAGATTCTTTCTATCCAAGAGAGGGTGGTTCTAGACAGAAAACTATCCCCTGAGGATCACATTAAGAACATTGTGCGAGGGGCCTATGCTACACTTTCTAACTTCAGAATTGCTTTTAAATACACAGATGGTGAAATACTAATGAAATTGTTCACGACTTTAGGTAGACCAAACCGGGAATATGCAGCGGTTGTATGGTGCCCTTATCTAAAGAAGCACATCAATAAACTGGAAAAGTGCAAAGACATACTACTAAGTGGCTCCCAGAACTGAAGGACAAGAGCTATGAGGAGAGGTTATAGGCATTAAATATGCAAAAACTAGAAGATAGAAGAAAAAGAGGTGTTAGGATCACTACGTACAAAATAGTAACAAATTGATAAGATTGATAGGGAAGATTTCCTGAGACCTGGAACTTCAAGAACAAGAGGTTATAGATTTAAACTAACCAAACAAAGATGCCGAAGAAATATAAGAAAATTCACTTTCGTAAACAGAGTGGTAGATGGGTGGAACAAGTTAGATGAAAAGGGGGTGGAGGCCAAGACCGTCAGTAGTTTCAAAGCGTGATAAGACAAAGAGTGCTGGGAAAACGGGACACCAAGAGCATAGCTCTCATACTGTAACTACACTTGGGTAATTACATAACAAATGAGTCGGTTTCCAGTGGCTGTCATTCAGTGCTCAGTCCCATTAACTTTCTCTGTAAACTTCCTCGTGTTTTATTTGATATTTTTATATTCTTAGCGTAAATAAGTCACCATGGCACAAAGTTAGTGATAACAGCCAAACAAATATAAAATTAGAACCACGATAGAGGTGAAAAAAAATTTTTAACAAAATATGAAAGTAGTCTCCGCTTGTCTGTTCTTGCTACCGTGTTTGGAATGCCTAAATCTACGATCTCTGACACTAAAAATTATAGAGGCCACCAAAGGAGCTGATAATGAAGTGTTCAAAGCCATCCATGGGTAGTTTGAGAAATTTAAAGGAAGTGGCATTCATAGTGTCGTGAGGCATGGGAAGGTTGCCAGTTCTAACAAAGTGACTGCCACATATGCCATAAACTCATAACAAGTGAAAATAAATTTGCATTTATTTAACTTATTTATTATACTTGTGTGTATTTTTGTGGTCTGGAATGGATTAATCCTGTATACATTATTCCATATGGAAAAAATCATTCAGTATTCAAACAATCTTCTGGAATGAATTAAGTTTGAGTACTGAAGTTCCACTGTACCAATTTATATCACCATAACTTACCAAAAAAAATATATTTATTTTATATTCCAAGAGTGTGACTTAACAAATAAATAAATAAATATTTATTCAGGTAAGGTACATACATACAAGAGATTTTACAAAAATTTATCGATTTATAGATAGAGCTAGTACATACAATGCCTAAAGCCACTATTACGCAAAACGTTTCCGGCAGGAACAAAGCAGACATACCTGTATCTTGCATGTTAAAGGTCCTAACTATGGAATGGCTGCCCAAATGAGATTAAAAACTGTCTCCCAATCAGAGAAACTAAGAAACACCTAAATAATATTATGTTACTAATTTTAATCATATTTCCTCATCCAACATGTTAACCTGTGTTTTGTTGTTATTGTGAACATTAATCATATACTAAATTTATACTGTTGCTAAATATCAAATTGCATTTCTAAATATCATCAAATTGCATTTCTAAATATCACTTAAAATTGTAAATACAGTATGCCAAATCTCTTTAACGATAATAAAATAAAATATTATGCACTGTTGGTAAAAACTGCAGGTTTCTAAATTTCACTAAAAAAGTTAAATCATTTGCTCAATCTCTAACAATGCAAAAATTTTAGCTTACTTCTCTTATAGTTTTATGTATTCCTCCATTAAACTTGTAGATAAATCTCCTAATTATCTTTCTTACACCAAAAAATGCTCTACACATTAGTGGCTTTATTGTACATTTATTACTGACAAATTCTCCACTGTAACATCAAATTTATGTACTTTTTACATAAATTATTATTATTATTACCCCCAAAAATGCAAACTAATTAACTCATTATCTTGTATCCAAAAATGCTGTGCATAACTAGTGGCTTTATCAAATACAATACTGTAAACAAATAATGTACCCACTAAGTACAGTAACCACTATAATCTGATTCATTGTACAGTACTGTATATCCTACAAAAAAATACTGTAATTTATTATTATTGCAGTTAGAATATGAAAATTTTCATCTGCACACCATCTTATTGCAAATTATGCAATAGGTAATATTATGAATGTCTATCCTATTGAAATTCTGTCAATCAATATTGTAATTACCAGGAGTTAATGAAAGTTTCTTTTACAATGTAACAGGTTAGCACTAAAGTTAGCTATGTGCAAAGGCATACTCATTCATTATTCATCTGTCCATTCCTGGACAGATGTAATAGGACCCATTATCATCACACCAGAAATAAATATCTCTTTGATATCCCCAGAGTTAAACTTAATCTGTGTAAACACTCTATGCAAATAAAGGGACCCAGTTTATGGAACTCACTCCCTACTGAATTGAAAAGCTGTCCAACTTTTACATCATTCAAAATCAATACTAAAAAGTACCTAATTTCATCTTCATAGTTTTTCACTTTTTGCCTTAAAATTGCACTGTATCTATTGCTACCCAATCTCCCAACCTTTATGTTCCCAATTTGAACATCTTTACCATTGTGATCATTGCTGTCTTATATGTGCTGCCAATCTGCTGTATGGTGTTTATAAATCCTGTTTATCTGTATCTTTTGCTACCCAGTCTCCCAATCTTTATGTACCCAATCTGAACATCTTTACCATTGTGATCATTGCTGTCTTATATGTGCTGTCAATCTGCTGTATGGTGTCTATTAATCTTGTTTAAATTACTAATCAAGCTGTCAAGGTAATCAATCAGAGCTTTAATATAACAATGTGCTTTAATATACTTACTAAGCTCTCTCATCTCATTTTTCTCTTGCAATGTATCTATAACATTTATCAATTCTGATAGAAATTACCTACTTAAAATTATCTGCTAGATTAAGGACCTGCCCGAAACGCTGCGCGTACTAGTGGCTTTACAAGAGTGTAAATACTGTACTATCCAATGTATTCTCACAAACCCAATGTACCTTCTTGTATATAAATAAATAAATAAATAAATTATAATATTACTAGAAAACCCAGACTAGATGCAGGTCATTTTGTACAGGAGATATGGGCAAAAATACTTAAATCTAACCTCACCTAACCAATAATGCAAAGCATAGTGTAGCCTAACCTAGTGGGGAAAGAAAACAAATTTAAAAGTTATAAAAAATTAAAATAAGAAAGTGTTAACAAAAATGACCAGTGTACAACGGGCTCATCTAAAATACGAACACACCCAACTCGGGGTCATAGCATTACCTCTGCTCTTACCCACTCCACCCCTCCCCATCCTACAGCAGAATCATGACTTTTCAGCGTCCCTAAACATTCACAGTGTTGTTATGGGTCACGGGTCACACTAAATTCAAAATGCTATACAATGTATTTTTTGTCAATATAAACCTTTTTTTCTTTTCTGCCCAATTTTGAGGGTCCCGGTAGTATAGTTGGGCTCGACTTACAATCAAGAATTCCGGGTTCGAATGCGAGGCTGGTCAGAAATGGTTGGGCAAGTTTCCAAATCACCTCATGCCCCTGTCCACCTAGTAATACCTAGGTACTCAGGAGTTAGTTAGCTTGTTGTGGGGTTGCATCCTGGGGAGGAGGAGTGGGAGGGTTATCGGGGGGAAAGCGCCAAGCGCCAACCTCAATATAAGCCTAACATATACTGCATGTATATTACTGCATGCCTGTTTTCCAACAATGAATTATTATTATGAATTACTTCATCTATATAAATGCAATGCATTGCATAGCTTTATCCAAGATAATGACAGGTTCTCCAATATAGGAAGCACCTAACCAAAATTCTATTGTAGGCACATCATGCCAAGTTTAATAAGTAACTTCTGTAACTGAATTCCAGTTCAGCAACAATTATTATTAGAATATTATGAAACATTTGTTTTATATTAACTTGAAGTTTAACTCATCTATAATATATAAACTTAAAGTAACAACAAAGAATTAGCATTAACCATACAACTGGAGTTGCAAATTAGTTTTCTATCTAAAATTGACTGCATCATAATTTTTTTTTTCTTAAGAACCATACAAATACAATTTGATAATGGCTCAATAGGTGGAAATTCTTACTGCACTGCAGGCTAGGTTAGCTTAACTTACTGAAAGTTTTCATGGCTCTGTGCTTCTGTCATTTGAAAAACCTGTCACAAGTTTACTTCCAGCTTGAGTGAAATCTATCAAGGTCAACGGTTTACCAGGGCCTCCAGGGAGGTGGTGGCCCTGACAGTCTCCCTGGTCTTGTCTCCTCAAGTATCTCCCTCGCTACCAACTTGGCCCTCATACTCAGGCCAAAGAAACAAGAGGAAAAAATGTGTTTTTTTTCAGCGATCACTTTCATATTCAAATCTCTGTATGGCAAGTCATTTTTCCTGTGACACACGACGTCGTATCTGCCCATGTTCTCGGCACAAGACACGGAATACCACTGACACTGGCCACAGACACGGTCACTACCGTGACCACGAGTGCACCTACTCGTGCACTCCCGTCAATACGCATTTTTGCAACGAACATGGCTGAGTGCACCTGGCACTCGGAGAGAAGAGTTCTCAATGGGACAAAAACACAGGGGTGACTGGACATGTCAGGGCGTAGCTGGCGGAGGACAGGCACTGTGGGTGGACTGGCTCACCTGTGGCATGTCTGGGTCACATACTGAGGGGCGTCTGGGGGCGGGTGGGCGAGGTGGGCGGCCGTAAGAAGGGCAGAGCCGTCAACAAGTGTCGCACTCCACCCCCGCCATGTTTGTTGCTCACTAACGGCAGGGGGAACAGCTTTACAATCTTCCCTCCTCCTCCTCCCCCTCCTACTCCTCCATCTCTAATCCTCCTGCCCCTCTCTCTTATTACCCCCCCCCCCCCCCCCGCCCCTCGCCCCTGTTCCTTCCCTATCTCCTTCGACCCTTCTCCTCCCATTCCCCCCTTCTCAACTCTCCTCCCCCTCCTCTTATTAATTTGTTTTTGCTCAATCTTCTTCTCCACCTACTAGGTTTTCCTCTTATTCCTCCTTACTATTTACTCCTAACATATATTTCACCTCCATGGTCTATCTCAGGCTTCTGCTGGGAACATTATAGACAATTACCGTTTGTTTCCCACACATCTATATGGGTCAGCCAATAAAGTCAGCAAACTCCTAGATGTTACTGCTGCTCGACTAGAAGTATCTTTGGGGGTTTGTATTACCTGCTGATAATTCAAGTAATTACCTGCTGATGATGTAGACCTCGCCAAATGTAAACTTTGTCAGCTAAATTATTCGCACACCCTCCGTCACTATATGTGAGTGCGAAAAGATTCATGAATTTAGAAACAGCTCTATAACAAATGTTCAGCAAATGTGTAAATATTTAGTTCAAAGTGAACTACTACCAGAAATTTCAGACAAATATCCCCCAGTTTGCTAACTGTGGGTAGTAAATGTGGGTGCCTGCATGTAACCTTTCCACCGCCGCCCACTGGATGTGGGGGTGATGCAGTGTATGATAAGTCAAATTATGACACTAACTCAGCATATCAAAGTTGCTTAACTTCGACACTATTCTTGTGGTCGTTCTTGAACACATCGTTGATATTCACCTGAATTTAAACAAGCTTTTCAAGATTGTAACTTGCTTAGCTAAATTAATTTATTTTGGGTTCAGGTCCTGAACTCATTATGTGCCTGTGTACCCTTTTCACCTATCGCTCACATGATGAGTTTGGAGTCCACTACCGCCCACAGTATGGGGGTATGGGGTCCACTACCGCCCACAGTATAGGGGTATGGGGTCCACTACCGCCCACAGTATGGGGTGCACTACCGCCCACAGTATGGGGTGCACTACCGCCCACAGTATGGGGTGCACTACCGCCCACAGTATGGGGTGCACTACCGCCCACAGGATGGATATTGGATCCACAACCACCCACGGGATGGGTATGGCGTCCACTATCGTTCACAGGTTAGGAAAGGATCCATTATTACCCACGGGATGGGTATGGGGTCCACTACCGCCCACAGGATGGGTATGGGGCCCACTACCGCCCACAGGATAGGTATGAGGTGTATAATCAATCAACTGAACTAACTATTCCCTCTTATTTATTTATTTAATCGTTTGTTGTTTGTACGAGTTCGTCTGCGATCACAGAATATAACATTAATTTAAGTACTTATTCTGGTAAATTCTTATATATATACATATATAGCTATTCATTGTGTCACATATATAATTCTATTCGCATTAATACAAATTTACTTTTGAATTGTCAATACAGAAATGCAATGCAAATTAAAGGTCTCAGATTGTAGCATGACCTTTCAAATTTGATTAAAAGCGCGCATTTCACTTAAGAGAGACTATGAAACATCTATTAACATCATGTAACAAATTTCACTCACATTTCCTCATCCGCAGTCAATTTTGCGTTTTGCGTTATGGTAAAATATATGTGTGTGTTCTGTTGCGAAAACTAGAGATTCTATAATAAGTTAGTCTATACATCTTTCTTCATTATCATTTAAAATTTGATTATCACTTGCTAAATTTCTTAAAGAATTCATATATATGTTAGCTGTTATTGAAATATTTAACACTATATCTGAACAAATCTACAAGGGCCGTGATGAGGGTTCGAACCTACGCACGGGATATTCCCAGCTGCGCCTTAACTAACTGTGCCTCGACATGGTAAAATAATTGCTACCTTTTCAAACCATCACGGCCCTTGTGGAATTGTTCATTTGATATATACGCCATTATGATTTCTGTGTGGAGTGTAACACTATATCTGTTCACTTTAATTCATATATTGTTAACAATGCACAAGCTACAGGGCTCCATCAAGGAACATATAATCTCTTCTCACAACGAGACCATCACCTGAGAAATCTTAACAAGCAACACAGAAATCATCGATAGATACAACGATAGCAGCAGACTCGACATCAGCGAGGCCCTACACATAAAAAAGTCAACACCAGCAATCAACAGCCAATCAACAGCCAATCATTGCATAACTATATTCTACCCACTTCAAGACCCCGAGCCAACATAGAAGCAGCAATTGAAAATATGGGCAAATAGGCCTTCTGTAGTTACTTTCATTCTTATGTTTTCATATCTAATTTATACCCATTGATTCCTGTTCTGTCACCTCACTCAAAAACATTTGTATCATATCACCTCACCCAAAAAGAATATAAGCATGATATATGATATGTGTAAACCTGTCTTTGAATATGTAAGAAGCCCTTGCGAAACGATTTAAGGCATCAGACCATAAAAAAATTAAAAATTAACTTTGGAGAGCTAATATTTCAATTACCACCGACAGTGAAGAAAAACGTAAGAAATATTGAGAATATTCATGTTGGAATTTTTTTTTTTTAAGAAATGAGGTACATCTGCATTAGTGCAGGTACCCTAGACTATATGAAGTGGAGTACAGTGTGTCAAAAAAGCTAGAATCATTAATCTTACCCTTTCGGTCATATTCAACAACATATGTTTACAAGAAAGACTGCTACCAAACTGTACTGATATATATATATATATATATATATATATATATATATATATATATATATATATATATATATATATATATATATATATATATATATATATATATATATATATATATATATATATATATATATATATATATATATATATGTCGTACCTAGTAGCCAGAACTCACTTTTCAGCCAACTATTCAAGGCCCGATTTGCCTAATAAGCCAAGTTTTCCTGAATAAATATATTTACTATAATTTTTTTCTTATGAAATGATAAAGCAACCCTTTTCTCTATGTATGAGGTCAATTTTTTTTTTATTGGAGTTAAAATTAACGTAGATATATGACCGAACCTAACCAACCCTACCTAACCTAACCTAACCTATATTTATAGGTAAGGTTAGGTTAGGTAGCCAAAAAAAGCTAGGTTAGGTTAGGTTAGGTAGGTTAGGTAGACGAAAAAACATTAATTCATGAAAACTTGGCTTATTAGGCAAATCGGGCCTTGAATAGTAGGCTGAGAAGTGCGTTCTGGCTATTAGGTACGACATATATATATATATATATATATATATATATATATATATATATATATATATATATATATATATATATATATATATATATATATATATATACATATATATATATATACATATATATTAGTATATTTTGGTAGCAGTCTTTCCTGTAGACATATATTATTAAATATGACCGAAAAAGTAAGATTAATAATTCTAATACGAATTTTCTCGATCTTTCTTATGTTTCTTTTCACTGTTGATGGTAATTGAAAAATCAATTCTCCAAAATTCATTTTTATTTCTATTCTGACGCGACACTTGAGCGCGTTTCATAAAACTTATTACATTTTCAAAGACTTTAGTTTACACACACACACACAACTATAACTGAATAGAGCTTAAACATCTTCGATTTTTTATACCTGCATTTGGGTGAGGTGATATGTTACAACAGTTTTGGATGAGGTGAAAACAAACTTTCAACACAAGCCAGAACACGAAACAATGGGTATTGAAGGTAAGAATGGAAGTAATTGCAGAGGGCCTATTGGCCCATATTTCTTGATGCTTCTATATTGGAGCGGAGTCTTGAAGTGGGTAGAATATAGTTGTGCATTAATTGGCTGTTGATTGCTGGTGTTGACTTCTTGATGTGTAGTGCCTCGCAGATGTCAAGCCGCCTGCTATCGCTGTATCTATCGATGATTTCTGTGTTGTTTGCTAAGATTTCTCTGGTGATGGTTTGGTTGTGGGAAGAGATTATATGTTCCTTAATGGAGCCCTGTTGCTTATGCATCGTTAAACGCCTGGAAAGAGATGTTGTTGTCTTGCCTATATACTGAGTTTTTTGAGGCTTACAGTCCCCAAGAGGGCATTTGAAGGCATAGACGACGTTGGTTTCCTTCAAGGCGTTATGCTTGGTGTCTGGAGAGTTTCTCATGAGTAGGCTGGCCGTTTTCTTGGTTTTATAGTAAATCGTCAGTTGTATCTTCTGATTTTTGTCTGTAGGGATAACGTTTCTATTAACAATATCTTTCAGGACCCTTTCCTCCGTTTTATGAGCTGTGGAAAAGAAGTTCCTGTAAAATAGTCTAATAGGGGTATAGGTGTTGTGTTAGTTGTCTCTTCAGAGGTTGCATGACGTTTCACTTTCCTTCTTATGATGTCTTCAACGAAACCATTGGAGAAGCCATTGTTGACTAGGACCGGCCTTACCCTACAGAGTTCTTCGTCGACTTGCTTCCATTCTGAGCTGTGGCTGAGAGCACGGTCGACATAAGCGTTAACAACACTCCTCTTGTACCTCTCTGGGCAGTCACTGTTGGCATTTAGGCACATTCCTATGTTTGTTTCCTTAGTGTAGACTGCAGTGTGGAAACCTCCGCTCCTTTTCATGATTGTTACATCTAGAAAGGGCAGCTTCCCATCCTTCTCCATCTCGTAAGTGAAACGCAACACAGAATTCTGCTCAAATGCCTTCTTCAGCTCCTGCAGATGTCTGACATCAGGTACCTGTGTAAAAATGTTGTCAACATACCAGCAGTATATGGCCGGTTTCAAGTTCATGTCGACTAAGACTTTTTGTTCGATGGTACCCATGTAGAAGTTCGCAAACAGGACACCTAGGGGAGAACCCATGGCGACCCCATCTACTTGCTTATACATGTGCCCATCCGGGCTCAAGAAGGGTGCCTCTTTAGTACAAGCTTTGAGTAGTTTCCTTAGAATGTTTTCTGGTATGTCAAGAGGAGT